GAGGAGAAGCCCATCTGCTGATCTGAATATGGAAGGATCTTCTGCCATATGTGGCCTCTTGGCCCACGCTGTGTCCCAGCTGAAACCCACCTGCAGCAAGGCTCTCGGAGTGGATTAAAGCATCGTTACTCAGCAAAGTAGCCTTGGCACTTTGTGTTGGAAGCCACAGCTGATGCTTCCACAGCGTCTTCCCTGCGTCAGAATAATTGCCGCTGACGACAGCCAGAATGAAACCTCCGCGTTGGGAGTCAGCAACAACCTGGAGCAGAGGGTCGTGGCCAGAATATGGAGAGCACGATGCAGTTTTAACCACGCAGGAAAAAATCAGCCGGGGCGGGGAGGAAGTTCAAGGCACCACATGTGCTTAGCCCGAATGCCCCAAACTACAGAAATTGCCCCCAATCCCCACAACGGGGGCACCCTGGTGTTGGAATGGTTTTTTGGGTGGTGTGTCTGCCCCAATTACTATCAGAGTAGCGATAAAGTCAGCTGGATAAGATTTTGCTTACGTGGTTTGAAGCCCGCGTGTTTCTCCAACCAGAGCCCCCTTCCAGAAGTCTAGCTCCTGGAATCCCCCCCCCAAGAGTGAGAAAGGTGTTGTGACCCCACCACGGGTGCGTCATCACTTGCAGCTTTCTGCCAACCGGTGGCCAAATTTTTTCCTTCTTGTTTCTTGCCGCTCCAACCTTTTTCCCATTTCCCTCATCAGCCCTTTCTCCATGGAGGCCGAACGCAAATTCTCCTTCGCTGGCGGTCAGAGGCTGGATGGTCAGTGGAGTCCTCAGAGGGGGTCGAAAAAGGCAAGATGGCAGCGGTGGCATTACCATGCAAGACCCAGCCCATTCGTGCGCTTACAAAAAGGAGTGGGGCGTGCCCCGACTGCCAGTTTGACTTTTTTGACCCCTCTGCGAATGTTGTAGCAGAGGGTCATCTATTAGCGATGCTTTGGGGGGGCCCACACTGAGCAGGGGGTTGGAGTGGTAGGCCAATCTCTAAAAAAATGATGCATGATGGACAGGTTTCCCGGGGAGGTGAGAATAATAGGGAGACCAAGATGCAGATTTTGAATGAAATTAGCTCCTGTCTCTGCTTGTAGCTTGTAATCGCTTCATCTCTGATGAACTGGTTGCTGTTAAAGCCAGCCTTGAAAGGCAGCGTGCAAAGCAGCCTGCATTCCTGGCTTGGAAATGGGGGGGGCGGGAGTTAAAACCGCCCTGCAAAATGGACCGCTTGGTCCGGCGCTGCCGGAAATCGGTTATTGCCGGTTCAGACCGCAGAGGTTAACGTTCAAGTGCGAATAATAGCGAAGGCAATTAGGTAACCAATTCTCAATGATGGGCCAGAATGCTTAATTATATGTTAATTACCAGGCAAGCGGATTGCCTCCGGAAAGAACACAAAGGAGGCTGTTATCAAGCCCGGAACGGGGCTCGGATGTCGCTGTTTGGCCTGGATTCGCTCAGGTTGGCCGAAAAGGCCGTCAAGGGCCCCTGTGTAAATCACAGAGAAGAGGAGAATAAATGTTTCCCGTTGGCTCGTCAGACCTGATGAATATGGGAGCAAAGGCCAGAGAGACGCCATCAAGTAGTCACGGGACAGCTTCCCGGGCTCCGCCATGAACAGTGAACTCAAAAGGAGTGGAGGAGAGGGAAAAAGAAGGGGGACCTGGGCTCTGACCCCGGGCACGGGTGCTACGTGTCCCTAGACAATTAATAAAACAGAAAAAAGACCCCGAAAAGGCACTGAACATCGTCCAAAGTACATTTAAAGATACTGAACGGGGTGTTGGTAACCCCAGCGTCTATGCAATCAATGCCTCTGCGCGATCTGTGCAATTGATGCACCTCTGCAGCAGCTAGGGATTCTGGGAAATGACACACTGGAGCATCCTCGAGAGTAAGACGGAAACCAGAAGCCCCTTTGGCGGGGGGAGGCAGCTTGAGACATTGCAAGGTCGTTTTTTAGGACCGTGTTAGAAACGAAAAGAGGAAAGACGCAAAATTCTCGCCTTCTCTTGCATTTGCCAACACTTGCTCTCTGCAACGTCCTTAAACAGATGAATTTGGCCCAGTGGCCAAGCTAGTTAACCAAGTTAGTTAAAAAGCTAGTAGCTGTGTTTGTGCTTCATGCTGAGCTTGGTTTGTTTTAATCTTGGGTTAATTTGGGGGTGGCTTGGCCTATTGCAGAAAGGCAACCAAGGTGGTTTCCTTGAAGTGTCAATGTCTGGGTTAAGATAACACGTTAAACTCTAGGGTTTAGGCTCAGATTAAGAGAACAGAATTGAGCAGGTGCCCCCCAAAATAAACTGTACGATGACCTGTCATGATGGGTCACACCATATCCTATGACTATGTCTGGGTTCCTGGAATATATTAGACCACAAACTCCCTGGCCCCATTGGAGCCTAGACCAGGATGTTGTGTGAACCCAAGCAACATCTTTGGAGAACCCCCAAAATGGGTTAATTCAGCAGCCAAGTCAAAGGTGTGGGGTGAACCAGACAGTGGTGTCACATTTTACGGTGGGCTGCTGGAATGAGTTGTCCTTGAGGCCAAGGCAAGAAGAGACAAGCAAACTTCCTGACCATCAAGAACGCCTTTTGCAAGAAACAAGGCTCTTTCCCAAATGATCCTTTCCATCTAGGAATCAACATCTGGTGAGATTAATGTTTGAGACAGCTCCCCTTAAAAGACATGTCAATGTCACCAACTCTGGAGTTTTCGCAAGTGTTCTGGGCA